TTCAGTTCCCATGCACAGAAGCCCCCAATTCCTGGCCAGAGGGAGAGACAGGGAAGGCATGGGCTGGAGGAAGCACCCCACAGAGCCATCCGGGCTTCTGCCTCTCCTAGAAGAGGCCGGGGTTTGGACCCTGCTAGGGTCGGGGTTCCCATTCCTCAGTGGCTGTGTTTGAATCTGCCCTGCTCCCCATGGCAGGGAGCACCTGCAGCTCGGAGAGAGAGAAGGCGAGCTGCCTTCCAGTCAGCCCCAACTCGGGCAACCTGCGTGCAACCAGATGGCCTGCTGCCTGCACCTGCAGAGTCCATGCTGCAGTTACTCTGCCAATCCATCTCACCAGGGTCTCCCTCACCCTCACCGGCCCTCCGCTTTACCAAACATGACCGATTCCTCTTGCCCTGTGGTGGCTCATCAAGTTTTCATGCGCTTATTTTCTAAATCGCCGGATCTTTCTTCCTTGTCTATCTTAGTCTGGAAACTCCATTGAAACTTCTCCACCGTGGGTGACCCCGCAGGTATTTGACATACCAGTGACATAGCCTCCAACATCACAGCCACACAAAGCACCACAGTCCGCCAAACCGACAGGTCCTGCCCTCGGGACCCACTGGCGTGTTCGCCGGGAGGGGGAGGGCTTGGGGGTTGGAATATTCTGTACTTAGGACATGGTAAGCATGGCATAAAGCCGAACTCACTGTCCTCAGGTCGATTTTGACTTGCAGCGACCCCAGAGGGCAGAAGAGAACCGTCCTCTGGATTTTCCGAGACAGTAACTCTCTGCAAGTAGTCGGAAGCCTCGTCTCTCTCTCCTAAAGTTGCTGGTGGGGTCCAACTCCTGACCTTGCAGTTAGCAACTCAAGGCATAACCCCAACACCTCCAGGGACACCCCACACACACACAGGCATGAGACAGGCTGGGGGGGTATGCTTTGGACTCGATGCTGAGTTAGGAAAAGAAAGGGCAGGTGCACAATCGGTATGTGCTTACGTTGCCATATAGTTAGAAGTACCCACTTCTGGGGGAACCTCAGGCTGATGAACCTCAGAGCACCCGTCTGGGGTCAGAGCGAACAGGACTCACATCTCAACGCTGCCCCTGGCAGCTGCAGGACGCATCTATACTGGCTGGAAAATGGAGGTAGC